GGGGGGGGGGGGCGATTCCTGATAACTCGAACTTCGGATAACTCGAAACGATTTGCCCGGTCCCTAAAAGTTCGAGTTAACGAGTTTTCACTGTACTTCCCTTCCAGCCCTCGCGGTTGACTGACCCATAGTAGACAATGGGAGAGAGCGGCTGCTTCTGGCCGCATAGACAGGGTTGCTAGGCATACGCGTACAATGTCGCACCTGGCATCCTACATTTCATACTCTCCTCTCATCACGCGACGTGGACGCGCGGACCATCGAAAAGACGTCTAAATGCCTGGGACTTACTATATAGGCCTATGCCTTACTAGTGACAGATATGACTTATTTCAAGGTTTTATGGCTAGAATGCGCAAAGAAGACAATTCCAAAGGTATCGGGGCCATTGGAATGACAGATCTGTACCTGGACTGGTACAGACTAGTTAAATTTGTCGCAACGAGTTCACTTTGATTCTGGAAACTCTTATATGCGTGACAACTTGTGTAATTCGTCAGTCCGACGCTTAAGCGAATGAAAGTATTCTGATGATGCATCTATCTCCCTCTTGACTCTCTGGGGGCGACAAAATTAGGCTCTTTCCAACAATCGTACAAGTTTTGAAGAAACATCTGCATGCTTATGAGCCTTCCTCAAAATGTGTAAATGATATGTAGCTGACGTGAGTAGAATGAACTTGGGTGGAGACAATGAGATTGAATGTGCCATGCCTCGAGACTTCATTCAGTTTAAGCAGTCAAGTATATTGGCTCATGAGCCAGGAGGTGCAGGGCAACAGAAAATGTGCTGCCAAAGCCCTTGAAAGTGGGGGGGGGGGGGGGGGGGCTAGGCAAAGGTTCCAAACATGAAATATATTTCTGCAAAGGGGGCTTGGCACTTTCAAGGGCCAGCTGCCCCACTACCCCTGCACAAAATATGCTTTGAGACGTTGAATCTCTTTGCATGACGAAAATAAGCTCTTTTTGCATTGCTTCCTCGGCAATTGATAAGGTTCTGACTTTAACTGGATTAGCTCTATTTTGAGGACCCCAGTGAACACGTAGTCCAACTGTTTTGTGTATCATATGCATATCATACTGTCACGATATTGTATATAGTGTATTTTTTTTTTTGCTTAATCCATAGACCTGAATAAGTGTATTTTCTCGGATTGACGCGAGATGGCGCCTCTGGCGCCACGTTATTTACCACACCTTAATCCGGTACTTATTATGTCTAAATATCCGAAGTGTGGAGGGAAGGATGGGTTAGCTACCACAAGTGTCGGCATCCGGTCCGCGGACTGGAGGACGGACCTCGCCAGTACCCCGCACGACTCCGGATTCAGTACTCCGGGCGGGTACTTGACGATATAGGCCGCCAAGACCGTCACAATACGCTCTCAATTTTGGTCTGCGGCTGTCATCTAGGCGTAGGCCTACAAGCCAACGCCTTTCGCTGACCCTCGCCTACTTGCGCCCACCGATAAAGGAAGGAGACTCACGGCTGTAATGAAACCCTCTCCTCAAGTCTGTCAAAACAGGGATGATGTCCAATGGGCAGTTCGCACAAATGTCAAACTTCACGAACAATGACGTAGCAGTTCACTTTCTTTTGACAATGAGAGTTCGAGACGTTCGAGAGATACTACGTAGACGTACGCGGTTAACGTGCACTCCCCCTCACGGCAGGCAGCGATACCGTAGATCCTCTTGTGAAAGGGTTGCTGTGAACTGAAGGGGAGATGGGTCCACATTGTACAAACATTAACCGTAGACCAGCTGCAAAATTGAGGAAGTTTCTGTATGAAGGTATTACTTGAGCATTTTTTGTTGACACGAGAGGAAAAGACGTTTCCGCAATTCTGTTACTCGCCTCTGCAAAATTTATGCAAATCTGATTTCGGCAACACTCGCCTCGCGGCCTGCGAGGGAGGAAGTGGCGCGAACGGGTCTCGTACGTCTGCGATGCACTCCGCTGTGATGTCATTTTGCGAAAGCGAGTGTAGTGTTTGTGTTCTTGGCTTGTGATAAGTGTGAAGACTTGTAAGGTAAAACTTGGGGTGATCGTTTAGTAGACGTTTTGGTGCCGTCGTGAATGATGACCTTGCTTCCGCCGTCATTATCAGGTAAGCTTACCTCATTAGCCTAACTTTAGGCTAACGTACACGTTAGCCTAAGGTTTCACTGCCTTGACTCGCAGTTCAACATGTTCCGATAAGTACCTTGACTTTTCCTGGAGTCAATTCCATTTCTTGGAGCGACGAATTTCATTCCATTTCCAGTTCCGCTTCTGGATTTGCAGCTTTAGGATCATATTCCGGCCTTGGAAAATGCCAGGCCTGGAAAACTGCGTATGAAGTCTTCAGCCCACAGGGCTGGTTAGTGTAGGCGCAGGCCACGAGGCACGTGGGCCAAGCCATAATTGGCCTGTACTGGAGCCCGCTCCGATAGGGGTATGCAATGGCGACGCGACGTCTCGCTTCGAGCGAGCTCGGGCCTTCGTCGTAGTGAGGTAAATGGGAGAGGAGCGATCGACAATACGGACATCTGTTGGCGATTTTAGAAAAGATTCAGTTCCTTCGTTTGCAGGTAGATGACGCTGCCCATTCGCATATGTTCTTCGGTCTGCGCACCCACCTAGACCTACCTGAATCAATGCGGTCATGTACCTGTGAGCATGGCATAATCATTCTCGTAATTCTGTTGCAACAAAGGAATAAATGCACGCCTCGCGTGAACATATCTGGTAAAAAAAAAGCATGTCGTACTCAGACATATATGAACTGCAGTCTTGGTCGCTATTGCTCGATTGCCTGAGATAGAAGGGGTTTGTACATGGCATTGAAATAACCTTGACTGCAAGTAATTCCGCAGGAAATTCGTGTTCAAAGCGGAGATAGTTACATCGATCCACAGTCCTCATGAGTTGTAGGCTTTTATTCATGCAGATAATGTATTAGAGCGTTGATGAATTTACTTTAACCCCGATTCCTTCCATCGTTGCCCGCTATATCACTTGAAAAACTCTTCTCAAGAATGAGGGTGAAGAACGTAAAGATGTCGTTGCTGTAGCTGCTGCGTTCGTTTGTGAAGAAGGAGCTGTTTGAGGGAATAGGCCTCCTCCCGCAGGGTCACGACCTGTGCCCGTAAGATCGCGTTCTCCTTCTCCAGTATCTGAGCTTTCATCGCCATCTGAAAGTTCAACGAGACGTGTTCTTCAGTGCCATGAACTCCAGGTGCGTGGCTCAATTCAGAATCCTGACAGTCTCTCGTAATAGCGGTTGGAGATGAGATAATGAGCAGGGCGCTGTGGATGCCAGGGATCACGTGATTACGGACACTCCGAGTGAAGTGTCTTACGTTCTGTTTATTCGCTCTCTGACGCTTCCACACTGGACTCGTAATCAGTGAATTCGGATTGACTGCTTTTTCGGAAAAGCTTTGGGACTTGATAATTAACCGTTCGACTGAGAAATCCATGTAATTACAACTCCGTCACGTTCTCAGACATCTCATTATCGCAATCAGTCAGGCGATGAGCAACGAAAGTTCTCCTCTTGCTGATGGATGTGAGTGACACGCAGTCGCTACTTGACTCTGGCCTATCAATATGATTTTCTAATGCATGGGAAGCATCCATCAATCTCATTGAAGGCTACTCTGTCCCGTGGCGAAATCCTCGTGTCGAAGCGAGGGGCTTCGAAGGAACTCGGAGTTTAGACACGCGCCCTCTGTTGCCTCGGTCTCCCCCTGGGTGGGCCGAACCGGAACGGTGCCAAGCCCAACACCTGGGCGTCACGAAACGGTTTGGTTATGAGTACGTGCAGAGGGAACTATATTGATAGTAAATATTTATATATTCTGTTTGTCTTGTCATTCCTTGTCCTAAGATTTCTTTAAAGTTGGTAAAGAATATTTGCTTTCACGATCAAATATTGGGCTTTGCAATCTTATTTCAATTTCTTTCTCCTGATCATCGAGTAATTTTTATCGAGAGCCGAAAGACGCTACCTGGTCTTCTCGACGTTTCCTGGCATCTCGGGATTTCTTGGCTGCGAGGTTGTTCCTCTGTCGTCTCTCGAAGTACCTCTCATCCTTAAGCTCTTCCGGAATCGGCCGCTTCTCGCTGCGGGGCCTCCTCGGTCCCGGATGGAACAGGGTGTGTGCCAGGTAACTCGTCGCTATCACTGATGCGGAGAGAAATAATGTTGCAGGGTGGCACGTGACCAAAGAGGAATGAAAGGGCCGAACACGCGCTGTATACCTTGGTGATAGTCGGGACGGAAACCCCGATTGGGCGGGACGGGATAGAAGTCCTGTGGGACAGGGATCGGTGCGAAAGGTTTCTCGTGTGGCGGAAATGATGCCATCAGTCTCCCCACTTCGCTGCTTCTTCCTTGATCCTTGACACGGAAGATGCCGTCATCATATTCATGCAATGACGATAATTATACATATAATTATGGCTGGCGGTATTCCAATGTGGTAGTTTTTTTTCCATTTCCAACTGTGAGTGTTTTAGTGGGTGCGTTTATCGTTCACTTTTTAAATAATCGTCGTTTAACTTGAAACATTTGCTACTTAATACTTGGATAGGTCCATAAAGAAGAAAGCCACAATGATCCAATCAAACAATTTTATAAGTGAAACATGGATTTTTCCTGCATTTTCATGGCGCGTGTGATACAGTTTCAGACTGCAGTTCTTAATACATATTATTTTTTGTCTTTACAATGACTTCACTGATGGGAGAGCTGGTGAAAAGAGTGAGGATTGGCAGCAGCATGCAAAGGCCCCGTCATGTGGTCGTGAACGGACTGGGCTAATTTATTTACCATGCTCTCCCAATTTGGTATCTGGCCTCATTTTGGATGTAGGATGCATTTGCACGTCCGGGTAAAAGCCATGCTCACCCGCCGAGTTCCATTTTCATGACTTTTCCCCATTGAATTATTGGTGGAGCCGCTTGGACGTCTCGGCTTCAGAATGGATCAGCGTGAATGAGGAGTTTTTCTTTAATTCTGTCCTTTCTTATGTTCACTAGCTCCATTTAACTATTTCGAACATTGATCAAAATCCAATCGAAGATATGCATTTATTAATCACTCACTATGCAATAGCTTGCACGTCGGATATCGATCATATATGAGCTAAAATAACTGGTGTTGGACTTTACCTCAAAACGAGAAGATTAGCGAACACCACTGCACACGTGATTCGCAGAAAAGTGTTGAACGTATGCCAGGAAGTGAGGAGCAGAGTGAGACCATTGAATGCGAGTAATTGCTGGCCGCCGTTTGATTATGGCTTTCATTGCCCGGCAACGAGTCCTTTCCCCCCCGTTTTTAACCTCCTGGTGATTATGGGAAAGTCGCCAGGTGTCTCGATGCTTTGTCGCGTGGCACCGTGTAGTGGATGCATTGGCTCAGCTTTTGATCCGAGCCAATTGTTGCCAATCAACGGGGGAAGAGAGGTCAATCAAGATTCACTGTGCATATTTCAGAACCAATAAACGGGTTCATGATATATAGCGGTGGGTTTGCATTCTGACATCTGACATGTTCTTACATCTAGTTTCAGACATCTGCATATGCAGAATGCAAGAAGAATGAATGAGGGATAAAAGGCGTCAAGGCGAAAAAAAAAAACAACCTGTTAGCAACAGGCTGTACTTATTGAATGTAACTCGAACTCTATGCTCGTTTGTATGCGACAGGAATCCAGAAACAAGTATTTCCGGGGCCAAGTTCTGTCTTGTCATCGTGCCATGGAACGGGTCTCAACGAGCGAATTTGGCATCTATTTCTCTCATCTCCCACCGGGACGCGGAGCCTCTGCACCCGTTAAAAGACTGACAGAGCATGTCCCCGCATTTCATCTCCAAATCCTTTTGACCTTTTTTTCCTTTCCAAGGTCAAAATATTTCTCATTTGCATTCCACGTGTTTCTGCCTTCAGAGACAGTAGGAATGCAGAAACTGGAGCTCTTATCGTTACGTTACGAGATATCAAAACAGGGTGCTTGATTCCTCTCCCCCACCCCTAGAATCTTCGTGAGGGCAATGGATTAAGACATTAGTCACCTGGATTTGTATACGCCCACGAGATACATTACCGCTAATTGCAGTTATCGTGGAACTCCTCTCTCATAATTGTTTTCTGCGGAGGAAAAATGCATTAGAGCTCACGGAAACAAAGAATTAGTTGATATGCATGTGGTGCTTTTATTATTATTATTTTTTTACTCTCATGCAATCTGCAAAGATTCTATTAGATTGGCTTCAAAGAATTAACCTTCATTATTCCAGGGTTGGAAAACACTATTACCAGTATCTGATCTGGTTACACGTGTTCAATGGCGTGGCCTTCAGAATTTTTATTTCTCGGGTCCGGTCTAACAAACTGGTAGAAGTAGGGAGAAGGACTTGAGAACCCCTACTTGCTATACGAGAATCGTCAATAAAGGCTTTTATCCACTCTCGCCGAATTCGTGGTGGCAGAATCAACTACATGAACTCCTGTCGTGGCCTTGACCCGTGATTTTTTGTGTATAATCAATTCCCATATTCAATTGGGCATAGCTTGGGCAAGGCTGAAGTCATGCTTATGAGATGCGGTGGCCTTTTATTCAGAGGGCCAATTTCATTGTAGTTTTTGACGCTAGATGACTGAAACTGATGGATGGCTTTTTTTCTTTACCCTATCACATCAGTTCCTGAGTAAAGCTACAGAAGAAAGCTGCAATAGCCCAAAAAGAGCCTTTTCATAACAATCTCTATTAAAGCAAATAACTGCAGTACAGTACCGAGTCCCCGAGGAAACTTCCACAGCGCTTCCTGGTAGCTGCACGATCCTGCTGCGCTGCGCTCAACCGTTCCCGAAAGTAGGCGGAGTTGTGGAGCAGGTTCTTTTCTTTCTGTTGTGTGTGTTTGTTACGTCCCTGTTGCTAAGTCAACAGCCCCATGCGGAAGTATGAGACAAATCCGCTTGGCAGCTTTCCCCTCCCCCTCCCTCCTTGGACTAAAAATGGAGAGTTTGTGACATCCGAACGCGACAGGAAACGAAAGCGTGCAGGGCTTAACATTGATGCCCTCACACGTCCTTTCGAATTGATTCATGACGTCATTCCGTTTCCGTATACGCTCCTGATCCGTAGATGGGATTCCGCGAACTCTTTAATGTTGCATTGCTCTTGCTCATTTAAATTCATGAACTTCCTTTATTTTCTTTCCTTTATATTATTCTTCTCGTGATTCATTCTGCCATACCTTACGCCGGTTCTCCTAGTTTACCATCTTTTGTATTAACATTGTTCATCCCTTCAGCGACGGGAGGGACAAAACCGAGAAAATAAGCTGGAAGAATGAAGGAGCCTGTTTCCCGCCCAGAGCACTCAGAACGAGCTGCTGAGAACTGTTCGCCAGTATTCCCTGGGTTTCATAAGTTCAGTTATTAGGCGCCGAAATCAATATTGGGGCAGAAAATGGATTGGGACTATACAGCTTTTATCCATAGGTGCGCGACAGTGCCTTCATATAAAAATATATATCTTTCTTCAGTAGAAAAAAGTATCCCATGGATTGAGGTTATGTTGCGTGGCTGATGGAAATATAGAAAACCAAACCCTTGCCCTTCGTGGCAGAAGCTAATCGCGATGGTGTTGAAATCAAGGATCTCAAGGACGAAGGAGCCGGTAAGGGGTTTTGCAAAAGCGCTCGTGAAAGGGAGAGGAGGAGGAATTCACTCGAGTTCACTCCCATCTGTGGGCATGGCAGCGTTGAAGTGCAATATCATCGATTCGCTTCCGCATCGATGGGTGTCGGGCGAGGGTCCCGCCGACCTTGGAAATGGCTCTCCGCGTGTCTGCTTTCTTAACCCTGTATGTGCCAGGTCTGTGATTACTTGGGACGACCTCATCGAGGCTCTTGGAAACTTAATTTGACATCCAATTTTGCAGAATTGTAACGCGTTCCATAATTCAATTTTTGAGCAGTTCTGCCCTCTTCGGCTACACGCAGAAAAGTGGCCGAAGCAGAGGAACACAGCGGGAAAAAATATTTTCTGGATTCCGATATTCGTCACCTAGTGGATGAAATTTGATGAATGAGCATGATCCTCAAGATTCATATCAACCTGGAGCATTAGAAAGTGAGATATCGCGAGGCAACCGCCACTGATTCACAAAAAACCATGCTTTCAATGCTTCTTGAAACACAATGTAATGACATCGGCAAAATACCCAGCGGGAAAAAAGTGTTGTCATGGATTTTGAAGAGTCAGGGTAATATTTATAGTTGTTTGGATTGTGATTTCGTTAGCTGTTTGAGGTGAGTCTAAATCCTAAGTTATGACAAAAATTACATAAAATGACCCATTATTTGTAATTTAGAGGGTAACGTATGAATGAAAGGAGGAGAATATGAATGGAATAGCTGTTATCCATGAAAAATTCACCTAATTGGTTTCCGTCCCATAGCATTCAGAGACAGCTGAAATTTTGAATAGCCATATTTCGGATCAATAATAATGTGTGCGTCCCGTCATACCCCCCTCCCTCCATTCCCCTTTTTCTCTCAATTTTCAAGGAGTTCCGTCCGTCATATTCAATTTAAACACACCGTGGTAACATATTGAGAATGTGGGATGCTTCTAATCATCAGAAGCCCAATTGCCCTTTAAAATGGTTCCCTATTATTTCTGTCTCTTTTTATTCTGAACCGCAACTGAGTTTCTAACACCCAAGGTTTGGACCAATAATTGGGGATGTATTCCGTCATCGGCAATTTTCAATGCCTGTGTGCAAATCTTCAGGGAGTTCCGCCCTGTAGCATTGGAGTGAGACACGTCTTTCGAGCTTCGAATTTCCGAGTATTGGATGAAGAATAGGGGATGATTTTGAGCCGTGCACGGGATGTAGATCGACTCGATTGAACCGACCCACCCGCTGATCGGGCTTGCAGCTCGGTTGGCAATCAAGACACCATTTTCCGACAGCGCTTGACATGATCAAGTTAGTAAATGACGTCGCTCTCAGGCAAGCGACTGCTAGTGAAAGGTAGTGAACTGTGAGAGCGCTGAACAGGCCAGCACGGAATGCGACATCATGGAATGCTGGAAGCGTGAGCTGGGCCGCTTAGAAAAAAGACGCACCCTACGACCTCGAGTTCTCAGGCTTAGAGGCCTAAGCGGGCTGCGCGTCGGCCTGATAGGACCCGCGGGTTGGGTCCGGAAAGCTCGGTACGGCGATCTAGCTTCGGGTCGAGCGGGGCCACGATTCGAATCGGGCCGATCATGTCGGGTTTGAAGAAATCGACTCGCGCAGTGGGATTATTTTGTTGATTCTTCCTTGAGTGGTTATATCCGGATTCTGAGCTGAGAATGGGCTCTTATTTGATACCATCCTTTTCATTCGTTCATCCGCATTCTTTGTAGCAAACTGAAAAGAATTTCAATGGGGAGGAAACAAGTTGAACGAATTTTCATGACTCATCCTTGGAAGCCGAGTTCATGATGCATTAGCTTCGCCAATCGCTTAAAGATCCTTAGCTGTCGTATTGTTTATCGGCGAGACTCAATTTGCGCTAATTTTGGCGACCGATATCCGTGACTATTCTCATTCCTCACGAGTACATGCTCCAATTTCAAATTCGAGAGCTCGTTTTGAGACCCTGTCTTTCCTTGCAGTATGGCGTCAGGTCATTGTAACGGCCACCATCTGTTTAAATAAATATAAAAAAGTACATATGGACAGAAGGGAGGACGAGCTCCCAATGCTGGATGTTCGTCATTCCATCGTTTCTAGCTACGATGTTTTTATAATCGGCATCACTGTCGACATCACGATCATCGGTTTATCAGCACTATAGTTATGATAAATCAGTTTAATTTACTATATTTTTCCACTTACTCACGTGTTCCTGACGGAAATTTGATAGATAGTCCTCGGTATGCGCGAGCAATTCCTTCAGCTTTCGTGTCGGAGGCCAGTTGTTCGTCGAAAGTTGTTCATTCTTGCGAGCCTTTTTTAAAACCGGACCTCGAATTCAGGCCATCACGGAGTAATTGGGTTTTTAGGCTCAGCCCTTATGCAGTAGAGGTGACTGAACGCAACCGCGGACGTGACAAGGGAATCGGACGGGTCTTCTTTATAAGAAATTAATGAAATCGTTAAGGAAGGGGGGTAGGGGGGCGGGGTAAGAGAGGGGGGAAGCGATTGGCCTGGATCGCAAGCTCGCGGGGGTCAACGATCTCCAAGGCCATGCAAGAAGGCATTACGTGATCGGAAGAGGAAGACAAAGCGGGGCGTGCATGACTTCCTTCTTATATCATCGTCTTTCTTTCCTCTACCGTTACTTCCTAGCATCGTGGATGCAAATCCAGCGGTGGGAGGTCACGGGGATCGCGCTCCGGTTTCGTGAACGTGAGCCGAAACTGTAATGGTTTTCATTGTAATTGCCATCGGCTGCCATTTACAACCTTCCATTGCACTGATCGATCGAAGCGATTTCCCTCCAGCAGACCTGTGAAACTGTCGACACGTGCACAGAATGACCGTATGACCGTGGAAACAGGCGCTCGGCAACCCTGTGAACCTCACGACTCCACGTTTACTAGAGATGAATGGCGACATATATCTCCCTTTTTCTGTCACATTTCTCCTCCCTCCTCCACTTTTCCTTTCTTTGCCCTCCGAAAATAGAACGAACCATTGGGGAAACAGTCCTACGTGACAGGAGGTGTATATCGGTTGGGGCATATTATATCTCAAGGTTTACGTAATGGCATAATTGCGTCACGGAAGATGATGATAGGCAAAGGCCATGAAACCTCACGGTACGAATGTTATTCCCAATGCCAGGCCATGGATCCCTCTGTCAAATACTTGACTCCGTGTACCAATTTGCTTTCACGATCAGAGCAAAGTAGGGTATTCGCCCTCTTAGAATGGTGGTACCATTTCACTGATGGCATGGAAGCTAGCGTCGTTTGCGGGCCCATATCACTTTTTAGTTTCCCATATCTCGTGGGAATCACTGCTGTAAACACACCACGTCACATCCATGATCGGCACTTTCCATTTTGTTCCACTCCGTCGAGCGCCACATGATATCACCAAAGAGCGGAAGTTCCAGTTAAAGATACGCTGGGCTGAATTTCCCGCAGAGGGCACTATTCCCTTTCCACAGTTGTGTCGAGAGAGCATGAGGGCTGAGCGAGTTAGTGTTGTACAACACGCCCACGAGTGCAGTCTCTCCCGGGCGTTGGTCTGGAGAGTATCCCCTCTTCGTAGTCTGTCTTTCTCACTCCTCCGTTCTCTCTTCCTTGAGGTGAGTCACCACTTTCACGGTGCGATGTGACTGGGGCCACCTGGATTCTTCATTGAAAAGTCAATTGTGAACGTGCCGTGTTTTTAGGTGTGCTCTGTAAGCTTGCTTGTGCCTACGGTTCCTTCTTTTCCCTATCGTCGATGACTTCACTACTATGTGCTGAATCTGTTTCATGTGTTTCATCGTCCTGTTTGCGAAATATCACATGCATGCGCGACTTTTGTTTTATCTTAAAATACTTCGTGGCACAGATGCGGCCTAAAGTAGATTTAAGGGAAAGGAAACTTGACCTCCACTTTCTTCCATTGTGCCGAGGAGATAGTGAAATGGGATCTTTGGCATGACAGATGAGCTGTCTATCTCTAATTCCCTTATTCCCCAGAGATTTGAACACATGGGAGAGGGTGAAGTCTCAAGGAAGTCATCACTCTTTGCCACCTGTTGCGATTGAGTTATTCAAAAGTCCCACCAACCTGAAAAATCTGGAGGAGTGAGGGAAGTGGAAAGGAGGCTACCAAGTCAAGGAAAAGTGAAGAATTTGTCCTAATTTCATGGAAGTCAGAAGTCGGACAAATCGGTGAAATTAATGAAATTGATAATGAAATTCATTCTCGGATTATTGTATGAACGCTCTTCAGAGCACACTATGACTGCATTATAGTGTTAGTTGGACCTTTGCCAAAGAGGAACTCCCTTTCACATCATTAACCTTCTTCCTCATTCGTCCGCATAAAGACTCAGTTCAGTCATTCCTTATCAATAGAATCCCCATGTGCGCGATTCACCTGGCTAAATCATCTCTCTCGTTTGTCTTGTCCTTTGTATGTCCTTCCGCACCCATTTCCTTCCATTCTGCGGAGTCTCGGTTCGTTGAGGATTCTAATTCTAGTCAGGAGTGTTTGCATGCGGCGTGGATGATGTCATCTGTGGAGGATGACGTCATCCCTTGGACCTCGAATGTGCAGGCTGTCATCGAGGAAGCTCTTCAGCTTGGTATTACATTACGCCTTCCCCCCCTCAATACTGATTTTAATATGAAATGATCAAATTATACATTTTGTTCAGGGCTTGTAACTTTGCACGCAATGGTTGTAATTTTTCAAATAAATATTAAGGATGAGGCTTTTTGGAATATGCAAGCATTAAGTATTAGCTGAGAACAAATTTTCAAAATAGACCCTATTTCTTTCTTCGCGCTTTTTCAGGTGAAATGCGTTGATATGAAATACAGGATTGAGAGATTCTTGCTACACATAAAGAGTAACCTCTAATTTTGTGTAAGTTTCAGTGCAGCAGCTAGTTTCACTTTGAATATATACTCCTTAAGGTACCTCTAAAAAGAGAATTATTGGACTGGCAAATCCTAAGCTAATAGGCAACGTTAAGGAGCTCATTTTATAATGAAGTCAGCTATCATACAGTAACTTGAGCAGAAAATCTGTAAGGTGATTTTTGGTGTCTGAAGAAGGCTCTCTTGGCAGCAATTAATAATACAGTCAGCGCTCGATATTATAAAATTATATGACGAATTTTCCTTATAACAAAATTTTTTTAGTCCGTCCCTTCGTGTCGTCGAGCGTCGACTGTATTGCAGTTTGCTTGAAAGGTCGCAGAGTATAATAGCACTGATTCTGAACCTTTGTTTAATGGGAATGAAGTCTGCAACTATTGCATGAATTTTACAAGAGCTCAATGTTTTTCCTGTTTATTAACCACCCTGTGTAAGCTCGTTTCATGTAGAATGAGGTCATGTCTTCCCTAATGATAGAAAAAATTTGCCAATGAAGTATGGGGTGCTTGGTGATGACTGTTTTCCATTTCATCACACAACACTTGATTCATCTTTCGTGTTTTGGTGGCCTTGCTAAAGGAGCTACCTCCGAGTTTCACCGGAACTTGAAATGAGCGCTTTGCCATGAAAAAAAAATCAAGTAAAGTCTTGAAATGTTGACAAATTAAATTATCAAAAATTGTTTGAATTTTGAAATTATGAAAAACTACCTTTAAAATTATTTTATTACTAAGTAATCTAAATGTAAATAATAAAGGTGAGTTAATTCTACGGATATTGAACATATTGAAAATAAATGTTGCATGTGGAGGCACCTCAAATTTCATGTAAGAGTTTCTAGGGTTTCTAGAGTTTCTATTTCCAGGTTATCACGGAATATTATAGTTACGAGTAAGATTACAACCCCTATTCTAATTATCTTACATGACTATCATTTTAATTAATTGCAGTGCATGTTCCTTTAATACTGTTATGCAACTGGGGAGTTTGGCCCCATGGGTGGGTCTGCACCAATTGAATTATTACCCTTCCATTATAATGTTCTGATTTACTCTGCCCTCAGCGAATTTAACTTTTTTTAACAGGATGTTTCATAAGTCCCTTGACCCCCCCCCCTTGTTTTTTTCTTGTAGAATAGTGGCAGCAAATTAACATATGCCATTTGAAACTACATTAATTTTGACATTGAATAACCCTTACTCGAGAAACTGGGGATCATTTAGAGGTCAAGGGGATCAGTATGAACGCCATAGTTTTCTGAACACAGAATGATGCGGCGCCAGGTGCGATGAGACATTTTTCGGAGCATGGCGGAGGTGACAGAGCGAAACGCGTCACGGACAGCTTCCTTTAGTTCTGTGGTTCCATATCGCCTTTTTGCCGCATTCTGTATAACAAAATTTTAATGCTTTTTTCCACTTTGTTGACGCTCATGCACCCATCACTAAACGTTCTTCTAGCGTAAAAGGGCTTTGGTCACTCATATCTACACAAATCCTAACACTAATTCACCTGGAGCAAGAACAAAAAAAAGGGAGGGTCAAGGTACTTATGAAACACCCTGTACAAGGCAATGGATTAGAACGCACATGCTGTTGCGTTACACGTAGTACATTATTGGCTAGAGCTTTTGCGTAGTTACAGTAGTGTTCTTGAAGTCATGGATGCACAGCAGTACGCGACGAATGACAAAATCTAATGGAAGGGCAATGCCCGGGGAAGCGTAGTATAACCTGCCCCTCTTCTTTTTTCTTCTCCCTTCATTCCTTGAATCTGTTGCCAACGGCAGTGAGCACCGTTACGTTGCAGAAAGTATTCTGAATGCATCTAATGTCGCGTCTTCCTCTATTTCCTTGGAGTATATCACATGTGTATGGGAATACATTATCTTTTCTAAATTCGGGGCAACGGTATCGAAAATACGTTATCAGATGTTTCATGTCTCCATTTTCCTCCTTGTCCCCGTAAACAGACTGTGTGAGTCATTATGCATGGATTGCATCGATCGCGCGCAGGGCTGTTTGCTAACACCGGCGCCTCTCAAGATACATGCGATATTGAGGGGAGAACTTCCTAGTGTGTAGAATTTATTGGCAGGTTTGGGTGTTTGGTTTCTCTGCGTCGTTCATATTTGCTAATACAGAGTGGTAACTCTTGGGGTTTTGTACCTCTGAGCGAAGGCTCGGGATGTGTCACCTGACGTATTCTCGAGATTTACTTCTATCACAAGGCAAGATTTGTATGTCTTGAGTGAGTTTTTTTTTTTGGACTTTCGTGTAGAGGCGGCCAGCTCCGAGAAGTTAGGCCTCTCTCCGTTCAAAAAGCCATGCCCTGTAAAATAAGCTTTTTTGCTTCGCGTTAGCACGAGTTTATGATGGAGAAATGGCAAACGGTTGGCCCCGTCACGCAGAATTTTCGCACCACATTATCATTCTCTTTCTGTTTTGTGCACAGATGACTCCAGCTTGAAAGCAGCAGTTTGGGAAAGGGAAGAATGATCACGTGCCTGAGGCCGGGTTTTGAGACCTTCAAAGGTCGAATGAGACGGACCAGTTCGGTCAAGTTGTTAAAGGTGCACGAAGTACCAGATTTCGTGAGAGAGCCAGCCATCATCACTGGATACCGGCCTTTGCCGTCGACGGCCAAGGACTGCCTGGAATCCCTGTTCATACCCTCCAACGAGACCATCAACTTCTGGACGCACTTCCTCCCGACCTGGTTTTTCGTCTGGAAACTGAAGGAGATAGCAAACACTCATGATTTCTTCAACGATCCTTACCATTCCCCAGTGTTTGGGTACATGGTCACGGCGTGTCTCTATCCCCTTGCGTCTTGCACTGCGCACGCCTTCTCCGGCATGTCAGAATTAGCACGCCATATCTGGTACTTTGTGGATTATGCCTCCCTCAGCATCTACTCCTTTGGAGCGGCCATTATTTACACGAGCTACTCCTTCCACGAGTCCTTCTATAGCAGTTGGATCCGGTTCGTCTATCTGGAAGTGGCCGTGATCCTTGCCATCGTGTGTACCTTGATGGCCTGCAGTTCTCGGTTCGTAGAAGAGAACGGTCGCCTCCAGAAGTCCCTCAGGCTTGGGGCCTTCGTTCTTCCCTACCTGTGGGACAACGTTCCGTTGATGTATCGATTGTGGACGTGCGAAGACAAGGCCTGTCTGGAGTCCTTCGACTGGCACTTCTACCAATTTCTGTCAACGGGTCTGGGGGCGTTCTTCTATGCTTCGCACTACCCGGAGCGCCTGGCTCCGGGGAAGTTCGACATTATCGGTAATTCTCACAACATCCTTCACGTCTGTGGGATCCTGGCTACGGCCAATCAAATGAATGCCGTCTTGATCGACCTGGAGCATCGGAAGCACAGCTTCACTCAGAACGGCTGGATCTTGGACGAATTTTGGAGCTCTGCTTGTCTTATTCTCGTGTGTGTCATGAATGCCATCATCGTCTCTGGGTTTTCCTTCTACGTCTGGAGGACTGACCTAAAACGCAAGGACGTGACGAAGGCTGAGTAACCTCACCAGAGGTCAATATATTGACATTACTCACTCGAGAGACTGCTTCCAATCTAATCAAAGAGACTGTGATCGTTATTCCGTCATCAATCAACTGGTTACGTTTTTCTTAGTTTAATGATTGTCGGCAACAAATGTGTCGACTCTTTTGACGCTTGTTCTTCATTACTTTGCCTCTAGATTCGTCGATGTGCATATATTGTGTAAGCATATGTGCGTTTCGTTTGACTCAACGTATTCATCCCATCAATATTGACTTTGCATCGACGTCAACGAGCAGTGCAAACTGACCCAGGTTCAATGTAATCCCAGTGCCTGAAAACTGAGCCATAAATTAGAGGTTATTAATTTAATTTGAAGTCAGATCATATTGGTAATGGTGGTTTTTATTTTTATATTCGCCACATTTGTCAAAAATAAACTTGATTGTTGTGCCACAGTTTCCTACTTTTTTAACCTTTACTCTTAGTGATCCTTTTGGAGAGTAAGTTCAGGGAGTAAATAGAAACTTTATATAATTTTCGAGTTTACGCACATTCAGCTAGAAGCAAATTTTAAATTTTAAATTTTAACTGGCAGGTCATCGCCTAGCTTCGCGTTAGTCCCCTCCCACTCGAACCAAAAAGTATACAGTGAAGTGTGTAACAGTGTAACAATTGCGACACTGCTTCATTATTCAACTAGTTCATGAGATACAGTTTTTATAGCTACTCTTCTAACTTTGATATGACTTATTCTGAACTTCTCCAATTTTCACTCGAATTGAGTTTGCCTCAGTTGCATGTACACTGGTAAAAATTAAAGAATCCAATTTTTAAATCTTATGCAATTTCATTTTGCGTTCCGACTGAAGATGTTTAGAACGGGCAAATTTGTTCACATTTGTTACTCGATTTTTTTTATGCCAATCTTTTAGTTAGTAAAATGAGACTCCTATCACATCATCTGTTGAGTTCAATGCTACTACTGCCCCATGGAGAGTTGAGTCCTGGGGTAATTGTAACTTCTTGCCAGGGGATAAAAGTGACCTCGCACTTAGAAAATGTATCATGCTGCTAATCATTTTGACAAATCTCATGCGTCAAGTTTATTGAAATATGTATACCCACCTGTGTGTGGATGGCGCAAGAACATAAGGAAAGGCATCAGTGAAAAAAAAGAAAAGCGGAACTCCAAGAAGAAAGAACCAAAGGAGATGCCCCCAGAAAGGCCTCTGGCTCCTGATTACAAAGATGAGGCATTAAACACTACAGGTAATACCAGTGTTGTGAATCGGCGATGCTGGAGACATAGCAATGAGCCCAGAATTGCAACCAGAAAATTGTCGAGGGTGATATGAAACGCGATCTATGAGCAGAAGTTATCTGAGTTTCTAATGGCTTTCTTGAAATTTCATGAAAGTCAAATGGTGAACTTTCTGAAAGTCTCTACGTCAAATCTTAGTCCAGTCATAATCTGAGACTGGAGATATCTCGATTAGTGGGAATTTCTTAGCCTTCAGTCAAGGCGGGTTTCTGTCAAAATTACTGTTTCGTTGATCGCTCTGGATAGCTTGAATTATTTTGGATTTCAACCCAGGCAAGTCGGAACGATGGGTCTGAGATAATCTTTGCAAAAGGAATTAAATGAAAATTTAGAGGAAAATTAGAAGAGGAGATGAAGGCGTATTGGATGGGGCAGAGCTTCCTCTCCATTTTACTTCCTTTTCCTTCAAACCATTCCTGATGGCTTGAATATCAGCGAAGAGTGGCTCTGGCTGCTTCAGCTTTATTACCTCCTTTTGTCTCATTTTTAGCCCATATTTACTCAGTTTTTCCATAAATCATTCAGCTAATGTGGAACACAGGCACTGTTGCTCCAAATTGCTCCTCAGCGCGATCGAGAAGCGTTTACTCAGCAATAGTTCCATTTCCCGTCTAGTTAGGTGACAATTGCTGGTGCAAAAGTAACAAAGTAACCCAAGTAGCACCGGAATGATCAAGGAACATTCAACGAACGTCCCATTTAAGGCACTGCGTACGTCCATTAGACATCTTTTGAAGCGTTCTATTGACTTTCTTTGAATCGATATTTTTATCACTTCAATTACACCTCGCCCACATACAGCTCTGCTCCGGTGACAGGTACGAGGTACCATCTCAGATTAGTCTGTTCGGGAGCACTACCTACCCATTCATAGAAAGATGGTATCCCTTCTCTTCGTGCAAGTTGAAATTCATTCCCAGGGTTGGAAGCTTTGAGATGTTTATCGAATCAGCAGTCCCATGCCTATTCAGAGGGACATGGCGAGACTGACAAAGAATAGACTTTCATCACGCCCTCACGCATCTCCGACGCAAAAAAAGGGAACTGAAGGTTTTCTCGGGAGTGGTGACGTAATTTGTTATTCACTCATCAGATGAACGCATCTCAATCCTTTAAGCCATCTTGAAAATTGCACCATCCTCCCTCCACCCTCCGAGCTTGTTTTCTGGAGACTCCTAGGACTGGATTCCCTTTTAAGACCGACTTGTTGAAGAATTCAGATATCTTCTCTTGTGACTGTGGAGGAAGATCGGCCACGCGAGGAAAATATTGGGGAGTAATTCCAACCGTTTCACGTATTCACTCGCTATAGCGGCTACTTTGGCGCCATCCGGCTTCAGTTGTACGAATCTTTGTCCGAGTCACTTATACTTTGCAACTGGACAACACCTGTCGGTTCTAGTCGTGTAAAATCATATGAATTACAAAAAATAGTCATAAGTTAGCTGCATGAAAAAGACGTCGTGGTCAGATAGCTCCTTATAGTCTTGCCCACCCTTTTGAAAATGCCTTTAAAATTGCTTAGATCGAAGGGATGAACAAGGAAGCCGAAGGGTCAAGCTTATTACATGAAGGTTCAAGGTTCAAGGTTTGGAGAAAGCATTTCTACCATATTGTTATTCCAAGTCGGGGTCGAGCGTTCATTTAACCCTCTCATACATAAAGGGATCATCACTTGCGTACAGAATAGATTAAATTTTTGTTTATTGCGTGTTTGGGACTGATTGCACCCATCGAAGCATATAGCCTTCACACGAGAACATTCTTTGCCCGCAAATTTGAGCCAAATTGAACTCAGGAGTTTAAATGAAGTGTTGCCGATGACGTCTACGATGACGTCTCGCGAACTATTATCGACGGCGGAATGCCAGGTGAAGCCTAAAATACTGTTACATTTAGCTACCATCGCCTGTGCGTGCGTAGAGTCTCAGCCCTTCGGCGATGATGATGAAGTCTCTCTCCCCGTTCGCCTCCCGTAACCTCCCCTCACCAAACCCATTTAAAGACCCATCTTTATTATCGCCAACTGAAGAACATATTTGCTCTGATTGAACTTCATGAGCCATTTTGTTCGCCATTTTTCGAAAGCTCTAATTTCCTCCCAACTCTTACCCTTTCTCCTTGATGGAGAAACCAATTTTCTTGTCGTCGACAGATTTACTTTTTATCTCTACGCTGATCTAAATCGTTGATGGAATGAAAAAATAAGTGGTCCCAAGATGGAGTCCTGGGGGAATAAGCTCGAGAATCCGACTTCCGCCGACAGTTCCCAACAACAATTACCCTTTGCTCTATCCCCAACAACCAGTTCTTAAACTAGCTTCTCACCCTGCCTTAGTCCCATGCGGCTCCAATTTAGCCCGCACCAGACCCAGTAACCGAGTTGTCTACTGCTCCTGGGAGATTAATGAAAGCAAAGCGCGCAATCTTTACGCCTTCGGATTTAGACCTTAAATGTTAAATAAGTGGATAAGTAAGTGGAACACTTGTAGAAACCCTTTCATCTAATTCTCGCAGCCGTGTCTCTTTTTTTTTTCTTTTTTTTTCAGGGTCACGACCTGAAAGATCTTTCCGTTCGGTCCAGGATTCAAGTCAAACTGGGTGAGATTGGGAGAGACTTCCTCGGATTTCCATCCGACATTTTCTTCAAGGAATAATGATTGGTTACTTATATTCAGTGCTCCTGTTCCCAAGGGAACCGCCTTATATAAAGTAAATTAAGCCAATTTGAAATGATTTATTCGTGGTATTAATTATGTATTTAATAATAATAGAGTAATTATAATATAATTATATTATAATTGACGTTGCTGAAAAATAAATGACTTTCTAAATGTTCGCATTCATGCCTTTCGGTGATGTAGATCATTTCACGATCGATCTGCGGATATTATACCCCAGGCCCATCCGAAAAAAAAAAACAATTCCAAGAAGTTCGTCCCAGCGGAACAATGTACCTTTCTCTGTCGCATAGCATTCCTCCGGAACGATTGTGATGCAACCGCGTCAAGGTTCCTGGAGATATTCCCTCAATTGAGGTTTGAGGTCTGGGAGAAGACCATGAGACCATTCCCAGTTCCCTTGGATAGGGAAGGAATTCCCCTCAACTATTTCCACTCGGCCGAGGAAAGTGGATGAAAAAAACAGGCAGTTTCCCATTCTTGATAGCGATTGCTGGGTGGCTATTCAAACAATCCGCGTTGATATCGTAGTATGTACAGTATCGTCATCAGAGTGTGACATTTCATTGCCTTGGGAACCAACCATTGCCTTCACATTCGCTCAGCTCAAAGGTTCTTCATTCATCTCATGAGGTTATGATATTTTTCTTTAGCTGGGAGATTCCTTTCTTGTATTCTGGCACCCTTGAATGAGCCGGGTAGAACGTGACGCCGGCCGCGAGGCTGCTCCCTATTTTTTGTTGCCCCTCCTCCCATAAAGGACACGAGATAGATTCAAGGGCAGCCCTCCAGCAATTCTCCCCCTTGCATTCAAGGGATCCTCCGTGGCGTCTCTCTGTCTATATACGTGCTCACACAGAGCACGGGTTTGAACACAGCCGGTAATGCCGGAGTGACGCAGCAATACTTCAGTCGGTAGCTACAGTACCTCTTGGGGAGGTCGAGGCATGATTATGCAATGTCCATCTGGCATTCCGTCGGCAGGTGACTTCATGAGTCATAGCCCTGACCTAT